TCTCTGCATCTTGGCCATTGATGGGACCAACCTGGCGCTGGTGGCAGCTGGTGGGTGTGATGCCTACCTACTGGAAGATGGGGGGTCTGGTTGGAGAAGGCCAAGTCCCAATCCGAGTAGGCTTGGAGACCTCAGCGCCGGGACCCGCATAACTGGGTTCCTCTGCCAGTTCCTTCATGCATGAGGCCTGTCAGGACGTGTGGAGAGTGGTCCCAGCATGGCCATGGCTGGCTCCGGAGGTCCTCAGCTGCTGGGGCTCTGCTCGGGGCGTGGGGGTGGAGGGGAAGAAAAATTCAACCCTCCTCCCTCCAAGGGGCCCCGGTGAGGATAACCAGGTGTGGGGCATGAGACTCTCTCTATATATTGATATATATATGTGTGTGTGTGTGTGTGTATAAAATATATATATATATTTTTGGAACACATATATGTGTGCATGTGTATTGTGTGTGATCCAAATATCACTGCAATCATCATCTAACACATGCACGTGCTCTCTCTCTCTCTCACACACACACACACACACACAAACATGCACACACTCAGAGTCACACACATATGCACTCATACACATACACAAGAACGGATCATTGCTTTTGAGAAATTTAAGTGTTCAAGTTGAGTTGGAAATTTCTTTTCTGATACTAGATACAGCTACTAGGTGAACAGTTAGTTGGATGGAACTGGACGGCACCATGATAAGCAAAATAAATCAGAGAGAGAAGGACGAACACTGAATGATGTCACTCGTCTGTGGTATCTAAAGGAACAACGCAAGGGGATGGCTTTGAGTGAGGAGGAGTCCTTCACTGCTGCTGCAGAACTGAGATCACTAAGCAGTGGCGAAGGAGGCGGAGGGGGAGGAAGAGGGAGACTGGCGATGGCACAGGGTAAGTGGGGGAGGAGGTCGTGGGCACTTTTTATGAAGGTGAAGGTACCGCACTTGGCATAGCAAAACCTTGAAAGATAACACTTTTGTGATTACAAATGTGTCAACTCCAGTCACTTCATCATTCCTGCCATCTACTCCTCCCCTGATATGATACTCTCAGTTCTCTATTCCAATGTGGGTTTTTTCCCAAGCAATATCCAGGGCCAGAGAGATAGTACAGTGGGTAAGAAGCTTGCACGTGGCTGGCCGAGGCTTGATCCCCATTTAAGTCGCCAAATCCACCAGGAGTGATCCGTGAGTACAAAGCCAGGAGGAAGCTCCAAACACCACTGGGTGTGCCCCCTCCTCAAAAAGAAAGAACCTAAGATGGAGTGTTTGAAAGCGTCTAAGGGTGCAAAGTTTGCCAAAACAGGTATAGTGCAGTGATCACATACATAGATGTTTTCCCCAAAAGATTATTCAAAACTTCTGAGACAGTGAATCCCGTTCTTTTATCACCTGTAATGAAGTACTATTCGTGGCATGTTTTCGAATACAACAGCATTAATTAGAATAAGTTTTATTTATTTTTATTTCCTCCCCCTTATTTAAACACTATGGTTTAAAGTTGTTTATGGTGCATTTGTGAGAGGCTTTCAGTATTCCAACACCAGTGCGACATTCCCTCAGCCATTGTCCCCATTCCCCCAAGCCTGTCCCCTTCGTAGGCACAAAATAATTTATTTTATATTGGTTGTTACAACTAAGTGGCTAATGGCATTATCAAAAAATATTTCAGTAAGAGAAAATTTGTGAAAATTTTTATATCATGAGGAGATCAAGTCCTTGTCTAAGGACTTTCTAAGCTGTGGTTGCTAGCTGAGTCTTCTTTGTTAATGTGTTTGTTTATTGAGCTTAATTGGATCCATGGTACTTCCCATCTAATCTGGTGTGCTCCCACTGAGATGATAATATTCTAGAGTTTGAAAGTGTTGCCCAGCTGCAAATGCTTCTGTGTGCTCCAGAATCTCCTGTCTCACTAATAAAAAATAATAAAAAATGTTTTTAACTACATTATCAATGCACATAAGTATTTGTTGAATTAATGGCAATAATTGACTGGTGACTGAAATAAAAGCTATATATATGGTAAAAAAAAATACTTAACTGGGCAGTGAGTTCGCATGATGGTGGTTGTGGAATGTGGGTGTGGCTCCCAGGGCTTTCAGAAATACAGGGTGCTGTGGGGAAGCTTCCCACCCCCACTCCAAAAAGACCCCCGTGTTCTCAGCCAAAAGACAGGTATACCTAAAATTCTTGGCAGTTTGGTGTCTCCACAGAGTTCAGCTATGAGGCGGTGGAGTCAGGTTGTTGGCATGGCGACAGCAGTTGGGCTTCAAGTGTGGCTGCTGGGGCTTTGGCAGGGCAGGGACTCAGCCTGCCCCCATACTGGGACCCCTCAGAGGGCACCCAAGAGCTTTTAGATGAGAGCCTGTGTACCTGTGAATTTTTGCAGCTACTTGATCTCTTCCAAGACTTAATCATGAGTCTGTAAATCTGGGCCAATAGGTGAGCTTACATGGCAGTGGTTATGAGAATCTATATAGAATGATTTTTAAATACATGAAAAATTAATTTAACATTTTCTGGAATGCTGTATGTTAATATGTGCAGGTAGAGAAGATTTATGACTAATTTTTCATCTTTATTAAATATTTTAACAGTTGGATTATAATGTACAACTGTATTGAATTTCTGATACTTTTGGATACCACTCACAAAATTGCTTTTAATCATCATCTAATGAAATATTCTTTTACATGAAAGTCAAGGGCATAACTCTATATTCTTTTTTTAAAAAATGAGGTTGAAACTCTGGTAGAATGTGACTTGGATGTATCACGAGAAAAAAGAATGCGTGCCCTAGAAACTTCCAAGGACAGTACAGAAATTTAGGCCTACGATTTCTGAATTTTGATTATAAATTGCTTGATTTATAATCAAAACTTGATTATATATCACTCAAATCCACTTAACATAATGGCCCAAACCAAACCCCTTTTGCAGCCATTCAGGTAAGTGTTAGTCCATTCCAGAAGTTTGTTTTGGGTACCTTTCCAGAGAAGGTCCTGAACTGATATAATTAGGCTCTATGAGTGAGTATATAGTCTTGTTCCCCAATGAAAACTTTTAGAACCTTCTTTGAAAGATTACATTTGTAAATTGTATTTTGTTTTTATGAAAGAACATATCTACAAATACTAGAGAATTCATCAAAATAGTAGGCCTAGGATTCTACTTAGAAAACTGAACTTTCTCAAGAGGTAAATAAGACATTTTCTTGGTAAAAAATGTAGAATTCCCTTATATCCCAGAGAGGTAAAAAAGTATAGTCGAAGTGACATCTGCACTTGTTTGTTCACTGCAGCACTGTTTACGATAGCTAGAATCTGGAAAAAACCTGAGTGCCCGAGAACAGATGACTGGTTAAAGAATCTTTGGTACATCTACACAATGGAGTACTATGTAGCTGTTAGAAAGGATGAAGTCATGAAATTTACATACAAGTGGTACAACATGGAAAGTATCATGCTAAGCAAATTGAGTCAGAAAGAGAGGGACAGACACAGAAAGATTGCATTCATCTGGGGAACATAAAGTAACAAAATAGGAGACTAACACCCAAGAATAGCCTAGATAAGTACCAGGAGGTTTACTCCATGGCTTGGAGGCCAGCCGCACACTCTAGGGGAAAAGGCAGCTCAGATAGAGAAGGGAGCAGCAAATAAAGGGTGTTGGGAGGATCCTCCCAGGATGGGAGATGCATGCTGAACGCAGACTTTAGACCGAACATGACTGTCACTCAGTGCCTCTTTTGCAAACCACAACACCCAAAAGGAGAGAGAGAACAAAAGGGAGTGCCCTGCCACAAAGGCAGGGGTGGGATGGGAGGGATACTGAGATCATTGGTGGTAGAAAATGGGCACTGGTGGAGGGATGGGTACTTGATCATTGTATAACTGAAACCCAAGCACAAAAATTTGTAAGTCTACAACTGTACCTCGTGGTGTTTCACTAATAAAATTTTTTTAAAAAGGAAAAAAATGTAGAATTCCTTGAGCTTAAGAAAAAAAAAATAGGACCTCATGAATAGGAAAAAGCGTAGTATAAATTAATGTGTTCAGTAATGACCATTTTTTACTATCAAACTGTCTTTCTTACACATACATGCAAAGTGCATTTTTTATTTGTACATATTTGGTTTTTATTTACTGTAAAGGCTACACAGGTACATCCATCCGTGGTCAGGTGCAACCAGGACCACATCAGGCAGAGCTGGGTGTGCATGGCGGGGAAAACAGACAGGAGCATGGGACTGAACCCAGAGCCCTGAATGAAAGTCATGCACTCTACCCCTTGAATCACATCCTCAGTCCCTAATTAGTCAGAAAAGTCCATGTTTTTATTATTAAGAGAAAACTTGAGATCTTAAAACATCTCAGTTTCCCTATTTTTAAACGATACTTATTTAGCAATACAAAATGTTTCTCCCATTTTTAAATAATATACACTTGAGTTCATACTTTGAAAGCAGTAAAAGTTAGTAATTTTGTTTATAAAGTTTGCCATCCCTTACAATTCCTTTTTAAAAAGTAACTCAAGTTCCTCAGACCCCAGAGAAAACACAGTGAAAAAAACCCTGATGTCAGGGGATGATTGGTACATCTTAGAATTGGCACAATCTGTATTGTAAACTAGTCTCTAACTCTAGTACTTCTCTCAGATTCTTCTTAGTGTAAGACCCTGAGACTAAACTCAGTGAGAAATTTCTCATTATTTCTAGTGCCAGTTTGAAGTTTTAGAGTGTCTAATTTTTAAGAAGACATTAAAAATCATCCTACAAATAAAACATGGTCAAGTAAAGAAGAATATATGCTTAGTTTGGAAGTCTCGTTTCAATATCTGTGTTAAAAAGTCTCTTCAAAGAATAGACATCTAATGTTTTAAAAAAGTTAAATTCCTTAAAATGTCAAAAGGCTGTATGACCTATGGAGTGCGATTGCTACAATAATCAAAATTGCTACAATTCCCTCTCTGATGTAGACCACCCACGACCTCAGTCCAGGCTCCTGTTAGCCGTAAGTACAATCGGCTTCATCTCCATGAATCCAGAGGCAGATCTGAGCATATTTGAGGGGGGTTATACGTACTGCAATGTTGTAGTCCTTCTGAACCCCATGGACATCGATCCACTGGTGCCCCGAATAAACAGCGATAATCTTGCGCTTCCAGTTCTTCGTGTCTGACTCTTTCAGACGGAGATAGACCCCAGAGCCAGTGGAGCCGGATTCGGCATCACAGTACTGGTAGAGGAGGTCATTGGACTCATCGGACACGCTGCAGAACCTGTATACTAACTGGTCCGCCCTATCGCGATCAAATCCTGAGAAGTGGATCATTCCACCTGGCAGCTTCTTGATGGTTGGGCTGATGCCTAGCTCCATGTATTTCTTCTTGTGAGCACGTTTCAGTTCCAACAGAGCATAGTCATAGTCCAAGGCAGCGTTGCCCCTTCTTCCTCCAGCCCAGCCTTTGGGGATGTGCGTGTTCTTTACTCGGGTCCACTGGAAGGAGGGCCTCCTGTCAGCAACTTTCTGACCCCGACCAGTTTCCTTCCGTCTCCTTCCCACCTTGACTCCTTCTCTCAGATTCCTCCGGTTACCCTTCCTTTGTCTACCACCATCAACGTCTCTCCTGTCCCTCTTCGAAACACTCCGTCTCTTGCCACTGCCCGCCCTTCTCATCCTCAACAACCCTACCCTTAGCTTCTTACTCCCTTTTATATAATCCTTTCCGTCATGAATGCAATGGGCAGCTGTTAGAACATGACTGGGGGAGACGAGAACACCACTGCAGCCCGTGGAGATCTTCACAGCAGTGTTGAATGGGAAATTGCTTAGGAACCTTTTGTCCGAGATGCTGAACCTGCTATCAGTGCCAAACACCTGCCTCTTTCTCCGAACGGACGCTCCTTTAGAGGTGAAGTTTTGAGTAGTCTCAGGGACCAGGTCTTTCACTTTGACCCTGGTCAAGGTCCGGGTCCCATTCTCAAAGACTGTCTCGTAGGAAAGAGAATCTTCTAATTCGGACAGGCTGGGAGCTGGGAGGTTTTCGTGACATTCGATGCCACACACTTTATTTAACAGCATTTTGGCACTGGCCTCGAACGTGGGGCTGGCGAGATGGAAAGTCCTTTCACTGACAATCCGAGGGAGTTTTCGCAAGTGCCACGTGAAATCCGGTTCCATTTCAGATCCATCATTAAGGACCCACCCCAAAGTGAAAAATATCAGCCAGAGTAGCATGTTTTCCATTTTGTTCTTTCTCGTCCTTAAAAATAGAAAACAAAAGAAAAGTAAATGTATACCTTAGGTCTTATATGTGCCTTCACCACATATAAGTAGTCATTTCACCTTACTGAAATTAGCCGAACATCCTACTGAGAAAGCTCAGACTGCCTTCCCAAATCAGACATCTGTTTTCTATCCAACCTTCCTTCTAATAACCCGAACCCTTCTCTCTCTGCCACTCCACTTGCTATCTCCACCTCTCTCTCCCCAGAGAGCCCAGCACATGGGAAAGTAGGATGGGTTTTCAATCTGGGGAAGGGGGTGGGGGGGGTCTGTTCCCTATGCCACACTCTCTTCCTTCGGAACTCTCCTAATAACCCGATTTCTCGGTATTTTAGAAATATAAATAGAAACCAAAATCTTACATTTTCTATGCACCAGGCTTCTTAAAGTCAGAGCTCACAAATTTCTCATCTCTAGAGGGTGAATGCCTAATAGAGCTCATAGCCACTCATTGGAGGGCTGGAAGATAGCTCAAAGGACTTGAGCATGTGCTTGATATGTGAGAAGCCTAGTTTTAATCTCCAGCACTACATGGGCCCCAAAGCACCACAAGAGCAACTCCCAAACACCAAACCAGGAGTAGCCCCTGATTACTGTCAGGTAAGCCTAAAAAGCAAAGACAAAAAAAATGATATAAAAATAATTAGAATACAGTGCAATTCTCTGAACCATAGTTTGCAACCCAAACTAACGCTGCAATTGAAGTCACCAGAGAGCATCTAAAATCAGTTAAAGATTACAGAAATAAGTCGTTTTAATCTGCTCTTTGACTGCTTTGAGTTTTACAAACAGATTCCATATAGAAACTATATAAACAGGATATTTTTATGTTGTAGCATGACAGATTATTATTCTGAGAGAAAGTGACTTTATTACAAGTAAGCACTTTTTTTTAAAATTGAATCACCGTGAGGTACACTTACAAAGCTTTCCTGTTTGAGTTTCAGTCATACAATGATCGAACACCATCCCTCCACTGGTGCACACTTTCAACTACCAATGTCACCAGTATCCCTCTCTGCTCCGTCCCACCCCTCCCCCTGTCTCTATGGCAGACAATTTCCCTCTTACTCTCTCTATTTATGGGCATTATGATTTGCAATACAGATAATGAGAGGCCCTCATGTTTGGTCCTTTATCGACTTTCAGCACATATCTCCCATCCCTCCCGGTCCCTCCAACCATCATTGACTCAGTGATCCCTTCTCTATCCCAGCTGCCTTCTCCCCCAGCTCACAAAGCAGGCATCCAACTATGGAGCAATATTTCTGGCCCTTGTCTCTACCATCCTTGGGTGTTAGTCTCATATCATGATTGAAGTAATCACCTCTTAATTGCTAGACCTTGTAAGACCTCTTCATTGCTAGATGGAGTGCTGCCTCTGTTCTAATATTAATATTTCTTAATATTAGGGCTCTAAATCTGTGAATTTTGTTTTTTAATAGCAATAGTTTTGTTAAGCCACTTCTCATTTTCTTTAGTTATTTTCTGTGTGGATTTCCAATGAATATAGGCTAGCAACTCGTTAACTTTACTGAGACCTTGAAATTCTCATATGTTCATTTAGGAAATTCCCAAGATGAAAAATCTTTGTCTTACAAAAGCTAAAGCCAGAAGGTGACCTGCTTCCTCTGAGATAATCAACAAATAACAGATGATTTGAAATATATGTTTCTATATATACATAAATTTCACCTACTTGCTTCTTAGGAAAAGTAAGGAAGGCTTTTAATAATAAAGATCTTTAATAATAAAAACTTTTTCTAATAAAGTAATAATTAAAAAATAATAAACGCTCAAGGAGAGAGGAAACCAAAAAATGAATTTTCTTTTTTTTTGCTTTTTGGGTCACACCCGGTGATGTTCAGGAGTTACTCCTGGCTTTGCACTCAGGAATCACTCCTGGAGGTGCGTGGGGAACTATATGGGATGCTGGGAATCGAACCCGGGTTGGCCACGTGCAAAGCAAACGCCCTACCCGCTGTGCTATTGCTCCAGCCCTCAATAGATTTTCTTATTCAGCCCTTTCTATCAACAGTTTTCCACTGTGTACTTATACATGGTGACATAAAAGACATAAGTACTAATATTGATATGAAAAATAGATATCTTGGTACAATTTATCTTTTGGCACTAATAATCTGTAGAGTAATAAACGTATGAAAGGCAAGTGTCAGGCTAAATAGATTATGTCTATGTTGTGGTATTGTTTCTATAGTTGGAAGTTCTTTTTTCTCCTCAGTCTTGCAACTTTTTGTAACATGGAATTAGAAAAGGAGGAGTACAAATATTAAGGGATAAATGATCAGATAATATTTTACTGTAAAATCTATTGAACTGAAATCTGATTCTCAGAATAGCCCTGCTATTCTTTAATCAAATAAAATGTGACACATGCCACAATTTGTGGGCAAACTTTTTAAATCCCATGTAATGATCAGGTTTTTTTTCTTTTTTTGGGTCACACCCGGCAATGCACAGGGGTTACTCCTGGCTTTACACTCAGGAATTACCCCTGGCAGTGCTCAGGAGACCATATGAGATGCTGGGAATTGAACCCGGGTCGGCCGCGTGCAAGGCAAACGCCCTACCTGCTGTGCTATTGCTCCAGCCCCTGTAATGGTCAGTTTTATATGTCAGTTTGACTGGTGGGCCATGGAGGAATACAGATACTTGATCAAACATTATTCTGGTGCTTGTGAGGGTGTTTGGTGATGAGATTAATTTTGAACTGGCAGATAGAATAAAGCAAATCACCCTCTATAATGCTGTTGGATCTGGTCCAATCAGTCGAAAGCTCTGAACAGAACCAAAGGGCAGCTGTGCAGATGGAGGAACTCCTGCTCACGGCAACTGGACCTGCAGGACCTGGTAATCTTGGTGTCCACCTCTCTCTGGACTCAGTGAAAGATCAGCTACTAAAAAGAATGTTACTCGTTTGTTAATAAAGTTGAAGGTGAGCAGGTAGGCAGTAGAGTCCTGGCCACGTGGATTTAAAAAGTTACTTGGGCACCAGCCTAAAAGCATGAAGGCTGAAAACCCTCCGAGACGCGGATGTGAAGGCTGCCAGCATCATCCCAGAAAGCTGAATGCCTGAGAGGAGAAACTCCTGCTGGAATAAAAGGATATGAGAGGAATATGAAAAAAGATGACAGAAAGTTCCAAGCTCTTCCCCTTGATAGCACCATACCAAGAGACGCCAAGTGGGAGCAATTTGGAAAAACCCTATAAAGCTCATTTTGCATGAGCGAATGGAGCACATTCCCCATCTGAGAGGTCACCACATCTCAGTTTCTCAACTTGGCATTACGCTCTTGCTCTCGCCCATCCAGAGAAGCCCACGCTCTCTCTCAATGTGCTTCTCTCACGTTCTCTCCCTCTTTTTTCCAAAGAAAACCATTCACTATTCATCTCTTGCTGAAATTTTTTTTTCTATGAGGATAGAGGAGAAACCTGGGAACCTGGGTGGAGGAGAGAATTGGCTTGCCTTTTTCTACAAAGAGCAATTCCTCACTCCAGCCTAAAGCCACAGCTCTCCTGAGAACTCTGGTGCTGGGAAACTGGTCCTGTGCCATGGAGATCAAGGAGACTTGAGGCACAACTTGATAGTTGTCCCATGAGGTTGGTAGGATGCAAGTTTCTAAGCTCTGCGTACTTCACCATTCTTAACTTTCCCTGAGCACAGAATCAGGAGTAACCCTAAGTACTGCTAGCT